CTCTGTCTCTGGTGAAGCCTCTCGCCGCCCCTGAGCCTCTGGCCTGTACCCCAGTTCTGTATGCACAAATAAATAAATCTTTAAAAAAAATTATCATTCAAAAATACTAATAACATGGGCAGACTTACCTAAGTGGATTTGCCTGTATCTTATGTCATTTGTAAAATTTTAAGTATTTTATCTAATAGTTCATACATATGGTATTTTGTTTCATTGTTTTTATGTTCTTTGAAGTAATGGTCATGTCTTAGAGTTTATTTGTGAGTTAATAGAGTATGCATGCATTGTATGCTCTCAAAACATATGAAAAACAACTTACTTTCATCAAAAATCACGAAATAGTCAAAGTGATGATAAAAATAAATAATTTTAAAGTAAAATTTTAGGAACTATTTGACAGAATTCAACATTTTACAAATATGAAAATGAATTATTTTCAAAACGCAATCTACATGAAATGTAGAACTGTGTTAAAAGTTAGAAATTATAGTTTAAAATATCCCACATGTGACATCAATTGCCAGTCATTTTGGTTGCTTCAGAAGCAACATTTATTTACAAAAGCTTCTTAATGCAGTATCAAAAATGACCCCTTACTCATTTATTTGTTCATTTATTAAACATATATCATTAATTTACATACAGATTTCTCGATCCTTCTCCACACTATGTGTTTGCAAGCATTTGTTTGCCCAATTTTGGGCATTTTCTGCTGCTTCACTGCTCCAGCTCTAAAACAAGCAGGGGAAAAAAAAGATAGCTACTTAATGACTGAAAGCAAAAACTCTGAAGCATGATTAGTAGCTACATTGATATCATTATAAAATTTTTGATCATGCATCTTATGATCAGTGACAGGATCAAATTATTTTTTGATATGTCTTTTTCATCTTTACAAAGAAATATAGTATATCTCCCCTAAGTCTTTTAAGAATCTAAAATAATTAATGGTTTGTTCATGATAGGACAGCAGATATAAAAATTTTTAAATAATGTTCTCACTCTAAATATTGAAAAGCAACTCGAGGTACTGAGATTATTTTTCTTAATATTGAGCTAGCATACTTCATTCCCAGTTTCTTGTCTTTTTCCACTGAATCATTTAGACATGTTATCTTTAATACTGAGTCCAGAGAAACAGGCTGTTCTTTACCTAACTGGTACTTATCCTAAAGGAAAAAGACTTTCTGATCATAGATTAGGAAATGAGAAGAAAAATTTAAGTGTCTCTAACAGGATACCCAAAAATTCAGTTTTGATTCTGCCGCCACTACTTAAATAGTCCTATAAACAGGACAAATTATTTAACCACTATAAAGTAAAGTGAAGTGTTCTGCTCTGTTCTAGTGAAGCTTGTAGATTTTGAGTCCTTCTTTTGTGTAAGTCCTTGCAGGGTCATAGTTGGGAATCAGAATGTTTGGACTTTTTTCAATAAAAATAGTAAGCCGTTTTTTGTTGTCTTTTCCTTACATAAAATTCTTTGACGTTTTAATTGAAGTTTGATTTCTTCTAATAACATACTTTTTTTTCTTTTTCTTTATTTTGATTTTTTTTTCTAATAACTTACCTTCTAAGAAAGATCTGGATGCCCAGAACAAGTAGACGCTTATCTTTAGGGTAAGGTAGACATGACTGTCCAGAGAAGGACCAGAAAGAAGAGATACACATAAAGGCCAGGAAACATACAGAAACTGTTTTGGATATTTTTCAGAAAGACCCTGAAAAATATCTAAAAATATCTAAAAATCAATTTATTAAGGTTAGCAGGCACACTCAAACCTCTAGTCCAGGGTCTTAACCTAAGTTTTATGGAGAAATTTCAGAGGTTCCATAGAGTTCTCAAAATTGTATGCAAATGGTATTTCTATCATTTTTTTCTTTTAGGAAGAGAAATGATATTTTTAATTTTTAAATTTATTTAATTACATTGTTGTTCATTTTTGTACAATGTTTGATTTCTACCCTCAGATATAATCCCCATAACATTCCTACCACCACATCACCATGAACCCTCACCATTGTCCCATTGTCTCTTGTGTTCTGCCCTTCCATATTGACCCCTGTTCCTCCCCCTCCCCTGCTACCCCTGCTATATATCAGAAGGTTTGTCTGCTAGCATTGTCTTTTTTTTTTTTTTTTTGACTCCTTGTTTGGTTTCTCTATATTCCTCCTATAAGTGAAACCATCAGATATTATTCCTTTTAGGAAGAGAAATTCTATTCACAAAGATTAGAAATTTGAAAACAGACACGATAGTGAATGAATTCTGATAGATTATAATTTTCTAGTGATTCAAATATAACAATCGTAGGAGAAAAGACAATTTGGAAGCAAAAATAGTATGTGAATAATAATAAATAATAATTATAATGATAATAACAATAACAAATGTTTGCTCTGTTCACAACATAGTTCAAATGAAATAACAAAATAGAGAAAAAACTTCCTAAGCTTCAAAATCCTTAAACAGGTTATTTACAACCAACTCAAGTCAATCTTTCCTCAATTCTCCCCTTACCATCTTCAGCATGTTGCTGGCAGGTGGAGAAACTGTTCTCCTTTTTTCATTGTGTTCATTTACAATATCTCTTTGGACATCTGCTCGGGAGGTTGACAAGTCATAAAATTCTGCATCCTACAGGAAAGTTAAATTATAATTACTCTTTAAGTTTTGAAAATTGCATATAATGAATAAGTTAATCTAAGAAGACAAAGGTTATTTTGAGAAGTATTCAGTTCAAGTCACTGTTAGTTCAGCATTGTCAACGAATCTGAGCCAAATGTATGATTTTTAAGCAGTAAAGAAAGTGTTAAAATATTGATAAAAGGGGTATAATTCATGGGTGACTATTAAGACACCCCTGAGGCTATTAACTATGTGTAGTATTAAAAGATAATGTCATTTTTCTAGATATATGAGTAATAACACATCAACAAAGGTACAAATTAGGAATCATTCACACTAAATCTGCAGCAAGATTAGTAAATGTAGGGGCAGGTGATTCATTCTGGACTTATGGGGAACTTTGACTTAATATGGTGTATGTATTTAGAGAAATAATGTTTAGGCCCAATCCAGGTACATTCAATACTTCAGTGAAATGATATTACCAGCAACAGCTTTTAGAACTTCTTTCAAAAGACAGTTTTATAACATTAAATACATTTCCAAGACCATTGGGAGCAAGCAAAGCATACATTTAATAGACCACTGTTGATCCCAATCTTTTTAGTAACAGAAATGTGACTAATAAAATACTATTATGAATACTATTGATATTTTTTGGCTTATCTCTGTGTGTGTGTATGCCGGAGGGGACGGTTACGAAGGTGGATTTGTATATATGAATTATTCACACAAGGTCTAAACAATTTGGTACACTAAATTTACACTAAGAGTATTGTGTTCAATGAGTAATACTTTAGAAGTCTCAAGAGATGGGGCTCAGTTGATTTTTTTTTTTTCTCCCGGGCACTTTTTGGTGAAGTTATTTTCTCAGTCTCACAGAGCTCCCTCAAACTTCTCCAAATGCTTATATTTAGGTCTGATCATATCTTATCTCCATGCTCTACTTTCCCCTGTTTATGTTCCTAAGGACAGGGACCAAGAGTGAATGACATGTTACCCACAGATTCCATACATCCCCAGCTCCTGGATCTAACTTAGAAAGGATGCACATGTGAAACAGTAAGAGCCGCATTAAATCATATAATAGAGCAACATCTCGAAATTTTTCCTGTTGTCCCTCAAAAACCTGCTTAAAGTAGTTCAATTTCAAAGCATGTCAAAATTTGGTCCCTGGGCCCTCCCTGGTGGCGCAGCGGGTTAAAGCGCAGCACTAAAAAGCTAAAGCTACTTCAGCATGAGTTTGATCCCTGTCCTGGAGGTGATCCACATGGTGTGGAAGACCTCTCCTGGCCCACACCCTGCTCCCCTGCTCCCCTTAGCAGTGTACTTCATCAACCCGCCTGTTCTGCTCCCCACTCTGTCTCTGGTGAATCCCCTCACAACCCCTGTACCCTTGGCCTGTACCACAGTTCTGTATGCATAAATAAATAAATCTTTAAAAGAAAAAATTGGCCCCTAAGGGAGAAGAAGCAATTTTATCTTGTTTCTTCCCTTCTTGCTTTGTAGCTACATATTTTGCTGAAGGGGACCTGCTTATTTTTTAAAAAATTTTTTTTATAATATAATAGTTTATTTTTACATCATTATGTACATGTTTTATCTCAATTGTAATCCCCGTGGGTTTCCCATCACCGAGTCACCTGTGTGCCATCACCATAGTCCCGTGCACTTCCCTCCACCTCCACCCCCCATTTTTGATCCCATTCCCTACTCCACCCCCACAAAATGGGAGACATGCTTATTTTATTAAAAATGACTTTCAACAAAATTTTTACTAGATGACAGGAAATACAAAAAAGTAATGATAATAAAATGGACCGATTGTGGAATAAATCTATCTTTAGTTTATGTTAGACAAGCAAGGTGTCCTAAATAAAACCATTGCTGTGTCACATGAGAACTGAAGTGAAAGGTGGGTTCTTCTAGCCTAAAGAAGTTCTATTTGGTCGGGGTCAGGAAAGGTTTCAATAGTGATAACGTGGACTCGCATTAAAGGATAAGTAGTGTTTTCTACTCAGACCTTACACCTTCTTGAGAAGGTTTAGAAAACCATTCTTGGACAGAGGATATGGAGAACAACTGAGCAGCAAAATTTGTGGTGCAACACAAATGATATCTCCTTCTGAATAAATTTAAAGTGGACACTCAATGAACCAAGGAGAGAAAGGGAATTGAAAATGCCATAAAAGGAAATAATTAGGAAAGAAATTGGAAAGGCAGCAAGGGACTTGAAACAAACTTTAGATGATGAGTAAATCTTGATTACAGTAAAACACTGCTCATATTTCTGAGTGCCAGATGAAGTCTGACCCAGCAACAGAGCTCTCTGTACTGAGGAAGCTATTCCCTGGTCCCCAGGGTTAAAACTGGTATGGAAAAAAAATGTACAAAATGTTGTAAAAATAAACTGTTATATATATATAAAAAAACTGGTATGGGAACAGAAGGCAGTGTGACCAGTTTCTCACAGAGATTTTCTGGTCAGGAGAGATACCTGATGTGGGGGTTCCTGTACACCTGTGAGTGAAGGGGCTATTTGGTGATGTTCTTGGGGTTAATAAAGTGAGACGGAATAGTGGAAATAGCTAGAGTATCTCACTTTATACCTATTAATTGTAAGCCTTGAAAAAAATTCCAGATAATATCTTCAGTCTATTTCTGATTTTTAACTGAAACATAGGTATTTTTATTCTCACATAATACCTGTGAAAATTGTGTTGATGCATGTGAAAATTTGATCATTTGAGATTTTATCATTATGTTTCTAAATTTCTTTTAGGGTCACTTTGAAATGCATTAAATGAAAAAGAAATTAGAGAAGATTTTATGAACAAATGAATTGTATTAGCTTATAAAAGTAGTTATAGCTCATAATTGTCAATAAAAATACAATTCAAGTGTCTTAGGTAATTTTAATTTTTTGTTAGACACAAAGAAACCAAATGAGTAGTTTGATTTTTATGATATATTTTATTTAGCTGTTATACTTAAAATATTGTTTTTAATATGCAGTCAATATTAAAATTATTAATGAAATAATTCACCACTTTTTATTTTTCACTAACTTTTAAAGTATGCTCTCATATTTAGGCCGATCTTAATTCAGACTATCCAGATTTCCATTGTTCCCTGCCCTCATGTGACTAAGGGCTCCCTATTGATTACCACAGACATATAGTTAATTAAAGTAAGAACCATGAACAACCATTGACGTTTGTGATGTACCAACCATTCCAGGTCCTTTAGAAAATTGATCTAGTATCATGCCAGCTTTCAAGATAGCCTGACTTATTCTGAAAAGATTTTCAAACTTCACCATACCTGTCCATTTGCAGGAATGAATTGAAGCAACACTGTAGTCAGCAACAGCAATACCTGGAATAATGCCATTGCTGAAAAAACAAAAGAAAGGGAAGAAAGACTGTATATTAATATAGGAACTTCTGAAGAATATAGAAGAACAACAATAACAACAGTGAAATGATCTTGGGTATTCCAAATTCATGAGTAACATAACAAAAGATATGTTACTTGGTGCCAATAGAATGATAATGGATTTGGTCCCAGTTAAAGTCTAACTAGCTATGAGCTTAGTGAGAGGTTATATATTACTTGCACACCTTCTTCCTCTTGAGGGAATTATGTGACGTAAAACAAGTCAGAAGGAGAAAGACAAATATTGAAAGATTTTGAGTATATTTGCAATATAAGGAAACAGTAGACAAATGGAAATAAAAGGTAAACTAGCAGACATCAACAATGGAATTAATGTTATCAGAAGGAATGATAGGGGGGATATATGCAAAAGTGGAGTGTTCCAATGAATGGTGACAGGTGAAAAAAAAATTAAAATATAGTGTAAACATGTGTTGCATAATAAAAAATAAAAGCCAGATAAAGAACAAATGTGAATAGAAATATAAGAGAACGACTTTATCCTCATGTGGCTAGACGTTCAAGTCTATATTTTTGTCACTACAGTAATTAGCAAAAGAACAGAATTTTAATACAAAGAGAGTATTAAGTCTTGGAAAAGTGTCTCTGATTTTGTTCCACCTTACAGTTTTGCTTTGTAGCAACTTTGTGCACTAATAGTTGAGGCATTCTATGCCTATGCTAAAGAGGAAAGAAGTCATGTAGGTTAGCAACCTCTTGCTAATCTCATTGATAGTTAGAGTTTAGCTGGAACAGAATCCAAAATTTCTTTTAGCATCAACATGCATCAATTCCCGTGAAACAGCATTCCACATCCCTGGGGTGTGGGGCTCCATATAAAAATAGTCATGCATTTCTGTGAGTCACTATGCAACAGGTACAGAGCTTATAGTTTCTGAAGGAGTTTGAGAAAATTAGAAAAAAAGAACATAAAACTATCTATTAAATCATTTTTTTCTATTGTCTTTCAAGTTAGAATAAAACTAAGATTTACAGATCTCAAATAATATATTCTTACAATCTTTTTCTTGAGAATAGGAAAATTCTTATCAACATAACTATGTTGAAATAAAGAGAACTTTGTGAGCACTTTTGTCCATTTAAAAACTAGTTGAGAAGGGAGGGAATTGGAACACAAATTAAAATGAAATCATAGGCCGTTAAGGATTCTATAAAGGATTAAAAACTATGCAAGTGTCGCTACAGTGTTGAAATCTAAACTTTTCTATTCTATGAAAGTTTTGTTTATGCTATATATTTAGGTGGAACAGAGGATGAGACAAATTACAAAAATTTGAAGACAGAAAAGGAAATCATAAAAGAATAATGAAATTATTTCTGTTTAAAACAAACATAAATGTAATGCCAGTAAGTCATTCTTAGAAATTTCGAAAGGTTTTCCTGGCTTCATACTGAGCAACCAAAGATTTAATACCTAGTGTTATAATAAAAGAAGCCTGGTTTTATTGTTGTTGTTACTGTTATACCCAACTCTTCTTTAGCTATATAAAACTGAAAATCTTCATTTGTCAGATTATAGTATATGACATAGTGTTGCCTCATAAAGTTTTTGTGAGGCTTGATAATGTAATTAATGTTAAAGCAATTTGAAGACCACTACCAACATATAAGTTCTAGTATTAACATCACTGTTTTTTTTCAGTAATGCAATAGTTTATCTTTACATCATTTTGTGCCTTTTTCCATCTCAGTTGCAATCCCTGTGGGCTTCCCATCACCAAATCACCCATGTGCCATAACCATCGTCCAATGTACTTCCCCCCCATTTTTGATCCCATTCCACTCCACCTCAGTAAAATGTCTCTGGTGTATAGTTGTTCATTATTATTCTTATTTTCTCCCCTGGTCCTTTATACTCCTGCTATGAGTGCAACCATCTCATATTTTTCCTTTTCTTTTCTTTCTGGCTTATTTCACTAAGCATGATCTCTTCCTGTTCCATCCATGTTGCTGCAAAAGGCATGTGTTTATCTTTTTGATTGCTGAGTAATATTCCATTGTGTATATGTACCACATCTTTTAATTTTTTTTTTAAAGATTTATTTATTTATGCTTACAGAACTGGGGTAAAGGCCAGAGGTGTAGTGGATGAGAGGATTCACCAGAGACAGGCTGGGAAGCAGAACAGGCACACATATTGAAATACACTGCTGAGGGGAGCAATGGGTGGCTCAGGAGAGGTCTGCCACACCATATGGGTCAGCTCCCTGGCTGGGGATTGAATTTGTGCTGTAGTGTCTTCTGTGAGCTTCATAGTGCAGTGCTTTAACCTATTGTGCCACCAGGGAGAGCCCTGCACCACATCTTTTTAATCTAGTCATCTACTTTTGGGCATTTGGGTTGATTCCATGTCTTTCCTATTGTAAATAAAGCAGCAATAAACATGGGGGTGCAGGTGTCTTTTTGAATCAGCGTTTTTGTGTCTTTTGGGTAGCCACCTAGAAATGAGACTGCTGGGTCATATAGAAGCTACATTTTTAGCAGCTTTACATCACTATTTTTAATCATCATTTGGGATGGTCTTCCCCTCAGTCAGTAAGGTTGCCAGGGGAAACCTCCTAGAGCTTTCAGGTATTTTCTGTGTTGGGCCAGGTGGCCCAAGATTATGTTTCTAGCTTCAACTCTAAAATAGCATCCCAACTTTAGAACTACTCAGAAGTAGTTGATTGGCTAAAACCTAAAATAAGACTACATCACTGTTCTATTTCCACTTTGACTAATCTTTTTTCCTGCACCTTCTTCCTAAAGCATTGACCCCAAATGCACTTTTTTTTAAAAAAAAGATTTATTATGTATACAAAATGGGGGTACAGGGGAAGGATGTCCTAAAGGAACTCTGCAGAGTTTTGTGGACTACACCTCCTACTCTAGCTTTCTGGATTCTACCCCCTGCTCCACTGATTGGAAACTACAACTCCCAGCAGTACCAAGGAGAGAACTGCCAGGACCCAAGGGCATGCTGGGGCTTTGGGGGATAAATAGGTTGCTATTTTGTGTCTCTCTCCCTCTCTCCATCACTTTCCCCTTTCTCTCCCTCCCTCCCTCTCTCTCTCTTTCTCCCCCCCACTTCCCTCCCTTCCTCCCTCTCTCTGGCTCTCAAGACCTTGTGACTAGGGGCTTTCCATTACTTTGATATCAGAGCTCCAAGTCAGTCTAGCTGGTAAGATATTCTAGTTAACTTGTATCGCTCTCTCTTTCCCTAGATTGTACCTTTTCCTTTCCTTTGGTAAATAAACTCATTATGGACCCTTTTGTGTGTGCCTGCAATACAACTAAAATTTAAGTGCTTGGGTGAGGACCCACAGACAGGCAGCCCAGCTCACACTGGGGTGCCCTGTAACAATACTTTCAGATTTTTTATGGTGGTTTCATTATACAGGTATGAGTGATTAATACATTGAACAGCATTATTTGTTTTTTTGTTAATTTATTTTACATTTAATTGCTTTACTTATATATATTTTACATCAGGTGTAATCCCATAGAATTCACACCACCAGTTTACCCGTGCACCATCTTAGTTTCCTGTGCTCTTCCCATCCTCATTTTTGTACTCTCCCTCCCCTGCAGTAAGTCTCTGATTTATAGTTGTCTATTTTTGTTTAGTTTTGTTGTATTATTTTTTCCCTTAGATCCCTTATTTGTTTTGCTTGTATTCCTCCTATAAGTGAAAACATCTAATATTTGTCTTTCTTTCTGACTTATTCTTACTCTTTGTTGCTGTGAATGACATTAGATTATTATTGCTATTATTATTATTATTTGCTGAATAGTATTCCATCTTCTTGATCCAGTCATCTATTTTTGGGAATTTGATTTGTTCCCAAGTCTTACCTATTATAAATAGTGCTGTAGTAAATATAGGAGTGCATGTATCCTTCTGAACTAATGTTTTTGTGTCCTTTGGGTAGACCTGTAGGAGTAGAATTGCTGGGTCAAAGTGGTAGCTCCATTTTTAGTAATTTGAGGAACCTCCACACAGCTTTCCAATGTGGTTGGACCAGTTTGCACTCCCACCAGTAGTGAAAGGGAGTTCTTTTTTCACCACATCTTTCTTAACATTTGTTGTTGGTAGTTTTTTTTTTTTTAATATGTGCCATTCTTACTGGTGTAAGATGGTATCTCATTGTGATTTTGATTTACATTTCCCTGATTATGAAGGATGTTGAACATTTCCATGTCTGTTGACCATTTGCATTTCATCTTTGCAGAAATATCTTTTGAGATATACTGTCCACTTTTGACTGGGTTGTTATACTTTGTTTTTGGTGATCTTTGTTTTATGTCCTTTACCAGTTGTATGGTGTGTAAAAATTTTCTCACAATCAGTAGGGTGTCTCTTTGTTTTGATTAATGTCTCTTTTGCTATATAGAAGCTTTTTATTTTGATGTAGACTCAACTGTATCTTTTCCTTCATTTGCTTTGCTTTGGGAGATGTGTCTTCAAAGATTGAACATAATTATTTGAACTCAGTCTACAGCACTACTCGATGTAGGTGAGCTTGAGAGGACTGAAAATCCAACCCTCTAATCACATGGTTGATTCCACTGGAAACCATCTACTTAAGGGTATTTAAAAGTCATCTCATTAACATAATAAAGACACCTTTATCCCTCTTTTTACTTAAGGAAATTCCTGGGGATTTAAGAACTATGCACCCAAAACAAAGATTAAGACAAAATATTTCTTGTACTTAGTCATACTATCACAATAAAAAAATTTTTCATTGCTGAATTGACTAAATATTTCTATGTTCTAATCAGATAGAGAAAATAATTGTTAAATACCAAGTATGTGTTGAATTTTATAATGTAACATTATCTTAAATTTATGTTTAAGAAGTTAGATCAAAAAAAATAATGTAAAATTCAACCATAGCACCTCAACTAACTACTCCTAGTAGTAGCTAGATCGGTATCATCTAGCTCAAAACTT